GCACCGTGGCTATCAGTCCGTCCGTCTCTCCCACGGCACCGTGGCTATCAGGAAGAGAGAGAATTTGTCTTAGTCCTTGTATGAGAGTCGCATATCTGGCTTTCAAACAGGAATTCACGAGACCCTCACAGAGCACGTGAGAACACACATGAAGCAGACCCAGCAGGCGTAGCTGCTTCCGCAAACAGAGGATCCAGGCTCCTCTGACACTTCCTGGCCCATCAGACAGCTCCACGTCTCCCAGAACCCTCGCCCTAAAAGCTATCCAGGTGACCAGAGGGGGAACTAAAAGACGAGACACTACACAAACCCACTGTCTGAAATCCTCTCTTCCAAAGTGAGAGGAGACAGGGTGGGTGGACAATTCCTGTGGACAAACTACGATTTAGGTCGTGAGGAAGAAGCAGCGGTGGCCCTTACCATATTTGACATCTGGGACAGTTACGGAACTCTCAGCAATGTTGGTGGACAGAATAATCTACCAAAATCAGAAAAAAGAAGCGGACATCCTTATTATGTTCTGGACAACATTACAAATGCTCATAAAACTCTTGAACTCAAAAATTATTTTAAAAACTTAGACTCAGATTTAAAAATGCACCATTGTTTGATTTTAGACAGGTCACAGTGGGGAGAGAAGCCTTAGGACTAGGAAGAAGGGAACAATGAAAGCTGGAGGAGGAGCAAAACTCAGGGAGCTGGGGGGGTGGGGGAAGCAGGGGAGTGGGCTCTAAAGCCAACTGGCTCTGAATTCTAGCTCTGCTCGCCCCACTGTGGGACCCTGGGCAAGTTACGCCCTTACTCCCATCTGTTCAGTGGTGAAGACCATAGGCATTCATGAAGGAAACCCACTGAGAACTACTCCTGACAAACCAAACACTGAAAACAAGCAGATGCTATTACAGACAGCAGTATCACCCACCCCATACTGAACTTGTGCGTGAAGAGGCCCTGTCATACTACTACAGAGTGCACAGACAGATGTGCCAACATCTGGGAGGCCGGGGCTCTGCAGGCTGAGCACCGCGGAGCAGCTGGATTACATCAATCGCTCTCATTAAGACAGAAGAGGGTCTCTGTTCTCACACAGACTTACCGCCTCAGAGACCGGTACAGGGTGGATGCTGTGAACAATCAAACAACTACTTGGGAACTGATCAAACTAAGTCTGAGAGGAGCCACTGGCCCAAAGTCACACAACCAGAGGTTCCAAAGCCAAGATTAAAAGTCCAGCTCTGTCTAGTTCTGACGTACATGCTCTTAACCTCTACGCCTCAAGGCAGAAGTTACATCCTCTCCTGGATGGACTGACAGATGGGATTACCCTCAATAAACCACCCAAAGTCCCTGCGCACAGAAACAAGGCCACTCAACAGCACAGCAGGAGCGCAAAAGCAGACAAGGCTCCTGGGAGGCTGGAGGGAGCAGGCCAGTCAGGTGACAACCCAGACGAAGGGCTGGAACCTGCAGTCACTCAGCGGTCTAGTTTCTATCATCTCAGGTGGCTCTGGAATGGTGAGAACACATTCCCTGAGATGAAAGAAATACTTCCACATCAGGACCAAGACCATGGCTTCTAAGCAGCATCGCCCACGCAGTTGCAGGGACAAGAGAAGGCGTTGATGCTCACCTGCACCAACAGCGCCTAGAGTTGAGGAAATGAAGAACTTGAGTGAATTAGCAAATTTACATACAAAACGAAGACAAACCTATGGACTTACGGACTTGGCGTTGTCCAGGCAGTCAGGGCAAACTGCAGAAAGCCCCCATTTTTCATGATTAGCGTCTCAAAGGAACATTTACCTAACCTTTGTTAGGTTTAGAAATTGTCTCCCCATCTCTTACCTTTCTGTACCCAGGCACTGGACTTAGAAACACATTATTCTGCTCCTCTAAAGTCACACTTGAGTGGAGTGGATAGACCTGTAACCTAAGAGACAAATTCACTAAAATTACTTCTACAAAGCGTGGACGTACACGAGAGACTTATTAAAGGCAGAACACTGTAGCGGTTTACAAGTCAACTTAACAGCAGTATGAATTATTTTAAACACACCTTTTATGAACCATGTTTGTGAGGAGTTCATGCATGTAGTTTATTTCACCAAGACCTAGGGAAGAAAAAAAAATTTTTTTTTCTTTTTTACTGAAAACCAACATTTAAATTAAGATCAGGTTTTTTCCTAAGAAGGCTCTACCTATTCATTTTTACTTTATCCTCCTCATATATCAAAATTATAAGTAAAAATATACAATGATATAGAATTCAAAAACATAATATGAAAATTGTTTTCTTCTAGCAGTTTCCTTTTTATTACAATGACTGCCTGTGGGTGTTGGCAGTTTGAATAATCTTATTATTTTTTTTTTTTCCCTATATTTTCCAAACTTCTTACAATAAGGACGAAAAATCTTTACAACCAAATGACAGTTTTGAAGTCTTGGTCATAAAGAGATGCTATATTTATTTATTTCATATTATATTTATTTTAAAGGTTTATCAGTAGATAAAGACTGGATGTGGTTTTGGTGTTTTGTCGTTGTTGTTGTTGTTGTTTGCCTCATCCTGAATTATCAATATTTGCACCCTCTAAAAAGATCAAACAGTGAAATACACGAAAATGTATCAAACCTGAATCCCATAAGAACTAACAGAAAGAGTGTTGTTGTTACACGCCTTCGAGTCATTTCCAACTGATAGCAACCCCATACAGTATTCTCAAGAAGCAGCTGGTGAGTTTGAACCACTGATCTGGTGGTTCAAACCAACTTTGAGGAGTCCAGTACTTTCATTCCACAGAGCCACACCAGAACTCCAACAAAATATCATTTATAAATATTCCATCCAGGCCAGATTTGCAGTCTAAGTTCCTTATTTTAGGTTCTCTTGTACTAGCATCCCTGGGCCTCGCTTGGATGCTGCTTTCCTGGATACGCTCACACACATGCAGTTGACGTTCAGTAGACATGACTTGGGCCCGTGGTCAGTGGATGGTGGTTTTCTGGATGTGGCAGACTGTGATCCCAACTCTCTAAAGTGAAAAGAGCATCTCTCCTGAGTGCTGCTCTGTCAAATGTGCATGTCCCCACAAAAATGCCACCAAAGGAGCTGCCCAACTCACTGCTGCAATGGTAGAAATGCAGGAATGTTCTGAAGAGGTATGCCTTACAAACCAACCTTCTTCGGTATATGAAGAGTCGGTCTCTTGGACCCTGAGAAAGGAGCTCAGGGATGCCTGATGACCAGACAGAGGACACTGGCCTCACATTTATACCCATGTACCTAGAGCAGCAAGCTAACAAAGCCTCAAGGTAGTTTGTTACCAATTCTGGAAGGGGCAAGACTATCTTCAAAAAGTTCAATTCCTCACTGCCAGTAAGAAGCCTTTTTAGAAATATAAAAGTTATAGCAAAAAAGTCCATTAGACGGTCCTAACTGACCCTGTCCTCAGTCTACAATGAATGGACACACTGGCAGAACATTAATTCTAATGACTGTGCTGGTCTCGAACTTGACTTCCAACAAACTTCACCACCCAAACCCCAAAACTGGCACTCACCCGGCAAAAACACCAGCACACTGCTCCGCTCAGACACAAAGTGAGTGCCCGACCAGCTCTTGTTCCTGTTAGGAAGGTGCACAAGTATTAACCAAGGCAATGGCAGCATTGTCTCTCCAGAGCCCTGATGGGACAGGCTTTGGCTTGGGACGGCGGTCAGATCAGGTTAATGATCTCTACACAGGAAGACACAGTGGCCCATAGGTACCCCAGCCCAGGCCCAGGTCACAGATTACGGGAGCTAAAGGCACGCACCCAAGTTTCCCGACTCCCACTTTCACTCTTGCATAAACTCACAACCTGTGCTCCTTGACATTTAGTCGTGTTAACCCACAACCTTGAAACACTAAAAATAACTAAAAGCAAAATTGAAACTTTAAAAGAGTGCAAACCATTATTAAAAAGCATTTTTAGAATCCAGCATCTCAAACCATCCACTGGTTTCCCCATCACTGTCAAGACGTTTCCTCCTCTGTGAAATGGGAGTATCTACTCTCCCACCCACTGGGCTCCTACGAAGTCACAGAGCAGACAGGGCCCATCTCTGTGGGGCTCCCACCCCAGTGGGAGAGCCAAGCAAGAAACAGCTCAACTCACAAGGAAGGTTCGTCTTAGCCTAAGACGAGAAAGAAACACGAAGGATGACACAGAGACAGCTGTTGGGGGGG